TGATAATGGCTTTTCATTTCTTCATCTCTTCTAGAGCTTTTACTCAATAACATGTTTGAGTAGCATGTTGTTTAAGAGCTTGATCAATCTATGTAGAACTTCTGGTTTTTACCTCAATAATTTCGAATTCTGATTCAAGCAAAACGAAGGTCAACTTTGAGTGATCATAAATCTTCCAATTCAACTCCAAATTTTGCAAATGACCTATCCCCAGAAAGCTCTTTGAGTCTACTTTCTAATGCAACAAGAATCACCCAAAAATTCGTTGTGGTTGCAAAGTTATCTTCATCACAATGACTAAAGGTCAGAATAAAGGCGTTAATCCTTACTGCAATCTTTCGAACAACATATCTCCCTCATATGAAACTCTTTGAAGGTGAATTTGGTGTCCATGAACCGTGTTCTGAGTCTAGTTTCATAGAAAGTTTTACCTTAAACAGATTTGTGATTGGAGAGATACTGAAGAAATACCGAACCTATCTCAGAGCTGAACGAAGAATAGAGCATAACAGAGGATGTATTTTATCGATAACTTGATCGATAAATGGATGATCGATCAAGTGATCGATAATTGCCCATGAAAATCACCTCTGAAGCTTATTTTCCATGTTTATATGAAGGGTGACTCAATATATGATGGTATAACTTCCCGGTTGTATATTTTAGCTTCCGACTGAGCCATTCAAACTTCTGATTGAGTATAGCAACATTTAACATCAAATCTATGAACTTGAATCTTGATATTTTCATTTGATCTTGCAAGTTCTTCTTTTCTCAATCTCTCTTCTTCTTCTTCCTCTTGATCATTCTCCATAACTCAAAGTGCAAGATAATAACTCCTTTCTTTTCTTGAGGAAACTACACAAGATATTAAATATGATAGTTAGTCAAAATATGAGATAAATAATTTATGCAAACTTTTTGCTCTATTATTTGACATCATCAAAACTAATCATATCTAATAGATGATGTACAAGGCAGTCCCATGACGAAATCCATAGATATGCTGTCCCATTTGCACTCTAGAATGCTCGGAGGCTGTAGGGGTCCCAACAGCTTCTGATGTTCTGCCTTTGCCTTTTGACAAGTGAGGCACTTTGACACATAATCTGTCACGTTTTTCTTCATACCAAGCCACCAGAATAATTCTTTAAGATCTTGATACATCGTGGTCATGCTTGGATGTATAGTATATTGGCTCTTATGTATCTCTTCCAAAATTTGTAGGGGGAACATAAGTTCTACTTTTGTAATTCAAAATTCCTTCCGGAATTATTTCATGGTCCCGTGTCTCATTTCTTAGCACCTTAGCATTAAGAATATCAACCAATTGATCTCTTTGTTGGGCCTCTCTTATTTGTTCCCTAATTCGTGCTTTAGCTTTTTCAATTCCAATTTGGCTTGTTATCAGTCGTATTTAGCCAGTGAGATTCCAATCTCGGATATTTTCAGTCAACTCTTGCTCTTTTATCATTAATGAGGCCACCTGTACTGTTTTTTAGCTTAACGCATCTACTAAACATATTTATACAAAAAATATATGATTTTATAAAATAATGACATATTTGAGAGTGAGATTCGGGAGATTTGAGAGAATTTTAGTAGGAAACAATAACTACTTAAACGTACATGGTAAGCTTAGTATTCATAATATGCTTGCAATTTAACATCTTTATAACATAATGACATATTTGAGAATCATCATGTATTTACCATAGAACACATAGGCCTATGGCATAACTTAAACATATTTATATTAACAATATATAAGTTTATAAAATCACATAAACATACAACATAGCACATATGCAAGCAATACCAAGCATATAAGAGTAGAGTAAAGTTTGCTAACTTTTAGCCTTTACATTCAATCTTTCCTCTTGCTCCTTTTGCTTTCAACCACTAGGATTTCTTGATCAACCTTTCCCATTGCTATTTCCTGATGTCACATGGTCCTAATCATATCAACACATCATTCCCATTCATTTATCAGAGCCATGGAATTAATGACATTCATACTTTGTTGTTTAACATACTTTAACATCTAACTTTTGAGCTTTAATTCCAATCTTTCTAAAATTAATTTCACATGCTATTCTTATATAATTTTTCATGTAAAATCTATTTCCAAAGTCAAACTAAACAAAATCCAATTCCTTTCCACTTGAACAGTCTTGGCCAAGACATATAGGGCTTAGGGTGTGAAAATTCTATTTTCAATTCCAATGCTTCCAAACTTGCTTTCTCACATATACCCCACATAATTTTTCATTCTAAACACATTAGAAGTATCAAAATCATCAAAATCCAATCTTAGCTCAAACCCCTAGCTATAGCCAAAAATTACATAGAATTAGGGGAAGTTGGATTCATTCAATTTTTATTACAAAACCACTTGATTTTCATTCCTTTTAAACCTTTAGATATAATTCTAGCATCAATCAATCTTTTTCATAATTTATATATTTGGACAACACCTTCCCTTAGGGTTTAATGCTTCTAAAACTCAACAAAAATCATAACCAAGCTTTGCACGATATAGAGTAACTTAAACTACATCAAAAACCATAACCTTACCTTATCTTGAAGCTTGGATTTGCCTACAATCTTATGCTCTTTTTCTTCTTCCTTTTTCACTTCATAATTTCGTGCTCCCCTTGCTTTTCCTCTCTTGGCCATCTAAACACACAAATAAGAGGGAAAAGGGGGTATTTATAATGTAAGAGTTATCATTTATCTTGGTTAATCTAATTTACCTTTACCATAACATGTCTTCATCTTAACTTAATCCCTTTATGATCTTGGCACATAGATCCATTGGGTGTCCTCTTCATTCATTACCAATGCCACCTCAAGGGACATGTAACATGCCACCTATTCCACATGTGAGGAAACCATAATATTTTATTACACAATTCCATTTCTTCCAAGAATGCCCTTTAACAAATTATATAATTCTATCCATGTCCTTCATCAAATTTGCATTAAAATCGGGTGGAAAATAGGAAGAAATTCATGCTCTCTCTTATCCTTGATAATTTCTTTACCCATTTTACAATTTTACATCGTATCAAGTACTTTTTTGGGTCCTGATTTATTCGGTAATCTTGAGACATGTTCTAGCAACCTTTTTTTTCATCACAATTAACCTCACATGGCACTATATAACATGCATAAAGAGGGAGTCATGCTCTTTCTTTTGTTCCTTCATTAAAATGTTTAATAATATTTATTTCGGAGTAACTTAACCTAATTCTTTCTACCAGTCCATGACTCCGAGAATCTGTCTGTAGGTATTAATACTACTTTTTCATCAAGTCACCGCATAGATGGTTTATTTTGACTTTCCTCGGATATCATAAAAATAAACTTTAAATTCCGTTAAAGCCAACCTCTTTGTTTTCTAGAGGCGAAATCATTTTTAAAACGTATGATAATTTCTCCAATATTTATCCCCATTTTTCTCTAATTATTTGAGGCTTCCTTGTATAAATAATTTAATTTTGGATAATATTCATAATTAGTCAAAAATATGGGAATTTTATCAATTTTTTTTCAAGGGTATTGTCATCATTTTTAACCCCATACGAGCCTCAAAACCTCATTTTCCATTTTTTGGGTATTTTTTTAGAATTTTTCTAGAATGTTTGGGTGTATTTTCCGTCACTGCTTTTTTCGATCCAAAACTTTTCAAATTTATGATTAGGTCTCTATTCAAGTTTAGCCTCAAGAATCATCTTACTGAGATTTCCAGCACAACCTTTAGCCTTTAATCATTTTCAATTTCCATATTCGAGCCCTTGAGACTTAAACAGAGTCTCTAAGTTGCCTGTCTGATAGTAACAGAAAACACTTACTTTACAATTTAATCCTTAGGAATCTTCTTGCCCTTCTAAGGAACTTTTGAAACTTTTACTAAAAGGGATCGCGTAGCCTGCTCATTTCAGGCTAATTTTGGTACTTTTAGACCCAAAATCTAGAATGTTATATCAAGTGTCACTATTTTAATAATCAATGTTAAGGGCAATATTATTATGATTTTAAACTTTAAGAGGGCAATTTGCATTTTAAAAAAATTTCCGCCGTTTGCTTATAAATAAAAACTTTCAAGACAAATTTGTATATTAATCCTTAATTATTTGAATGATTATGATTGATTGGATTTAATTATGTTTAACTAAAAAATTTAAGTTAATGTCAAAAAATCTAAAAATTTTAAGTTAATTAGACTTCCAATTTTTTTAATTACTTCATGATTAATAATTTATTAGTATAGAAACATAGGAAAAATTGTTTAAAAAAACCATTATAAAAATTGTTGCCTAAACTACTTGAAATTAGTTTAGGAAATTAGATGTAATTAAGCGTAATTTATTTTTAATTATATTCAAAATAAAAGATATTTGTATATAATTAAAAATATGTTGCATAGTATCAAAAAATTTATACTCGCTAAAGATAAGATACACTTATTAAAAATTTTAATTTTTAAGTATCTTTGCCTAATAAATTTTGCAATGAAAAATTTCCAACTAGTTTTCAAAAACTTATGGTAAAAGTTTATATCATATTTTAATCTAGTCTCTTAGTTGATCTTTTTCAATCTCTAATAGTAAAACCAACTTCTTTTAAATAATAATTTTTCTGTATATAAGATTTATTTTGTAATGTAATTTACACTATAAATAGATTTTATATTTAGAATTTCATAATTTTTTTGTGTAAATTAATATATAAAATTTTAATTTCAGCATTTCGTTGTCAATAAAATCATATTAGAATTAAAAGATTGAAAAAATATTTTGTAAAATTACAACTTAAAAAAATTAAAATAAAATCTTATCCAAATTAAAGGGTCAATTGTATATTTTGACCAAAAATTAATTTACCTTCTAGGTCAGCTGACATCAGAAACAATTTTTCTCGCAGTCCCAAAAGCTCAGCAAATTTTGGTTTTCACTTTAGTCCGGAGGACTGAATGTTGTCTTCTCTCTTTCTCCGTCTCAAATTGGCTCCAGCAGCTTCAATGTGCCCACCATAGTTATTCGCCCTTGTCCTCTTTGTATTCTTCACCATTTTTATCTATGGCTTCTCTCCTACCATTTCAGGACCTCAATTGCTTCCCTAATTCTCACACTGCTATCACTAACGCCAATGATCCCGTCAATGTCGGACCCACCTCCTCCTCCAAAACGTGCATTCCAACATTGGTGCCTAAGCTGGAGCCTTTGGACGATTTGTTCGAACCCCGAGAGCAAGAGCAACCCCAAGAAACCATCATCTCAACTCCTAACCCTGAGAATGCATCGTCTAGTTCCAAGCCTGCTAGTGCTGGAATCCCACAAGGCGTGCCGATTGAAGACCATGTGTATTCAGAGTTCAATCGAATTTCTCAGATGTTTTGGGCAGCATTTCCCGACAATGTACAACAATCCGGAGACGCCAACGTTTCAAACCCAGATTCGAGGGCAATCGTTCCTGTACCACAGGAGAACCCGCACGTTTCTTCGGTGGTGGTTGCTACTCGGAAGCGAAACTCCCAACGCGTGAAGGAGCTGGTAAGGGTTGGCGATATTACGATTGAGGACGAAAGGAATCATCGTGATATAGTCAGAAGGACCAGGATGGTGTACGATTCGTTGCGCATTTTGACATCAATCGAGGAGAAGAAAAGTAGTGATGATTCAGCTAAACGTAAGCGACCTCGAGGTGATACGCGTGCTGCCACCTTGTTGAGATACCGTGGGCTATGGCTTAATCGAGATAAGCGGATAGTGGGTGCTATTCCAGGCATTAATGTTGGTGATTTATTCCTTTATAGGATGGAACTGTTAGTAGTTGGCTTGCACGGTCAAACACAGGCTGGAATTGATTATCTTCCCGCAAGCATGAGTCCAAATAGGGAGCCAATAGCAACTAGTGTTATTGTATCAGGTGGGTATGAGGATGATATAGATGATGGCGACGTTATAATTTATACCGGACATGGTGGTCAAGATGCTAAGCATTCAAAGCAAATTGCTCATCAGAAGTTGGAAGGAGGAAACCTTGCATTGGAAAGAAGCATGCGGTATGGCGTTGAAGTACGGGTTATTCGGGGGATTAAATATGAGGGAAGTGCTTCAAGTTCAAACAAGGTTTATGTGTATGATGGCTTGTATCGAATTGCTGCTTGCTGGTTTGAATTGGGTAAGTCTGGTTTTGGAGTTTACAAGTACAAGCTTGTGAGAATTGATGGGCAAGAAAAATTGGGCAGTGCAATTCTTAAACATGCTCGGCTTCTCAAGGTTGATCCACTTCTATCTGATTCTATGTGTTGTTTTAGTCTTGACATTTCGCTTAACAAGGAGACTGCTCCCGTCCGTCTCTTCAATGACATTGATGATGATGATGGTCCTCTTCGTTTTGAGTATCTTAAAAGGACAAGTTTTCCTCATTTTGTATTTCATCAGAGTGGAACTGCTACTGGTTGTGAGTGCGTGGGAGGTTGTGCTGATGACTGTTTTTGTGCTTTGAAAAATGGAGGTGGATTTCCTTATAATAGAACTGGTATTCTGTTGAGAGGGAAACCAGTAATCTTTGAATGTGGTCCATTCTGCCGTTGTCCTCCAAATTGTCAAAATCGTGTGACGCAAAAAGGGTTGAAAGTTAGATTGGAAGTATTTAGGTCTAGAGAAACAGGTTGGGGAGTTAGGTCCCTGGATATTATTCATGCTGGTGCTTTTGTCTGTGAATATACAGGGGTTGTAGTGACAAGGGGACAAGCACAAATTTTGACTATGAATGGTGATGCAATGGTGTATCCAAGTCGGTTTCCAGATAGGTGGGCAGAATGGGGGAATTTATCTCAGATATACTCGAATTATGTGCGTCCATCATATCCATCAATTCCTCCATTAGATTTCGCCTTGGATGTGTCAACAATGAGGAACGTTGCTTTCTATATCAGGCACAGTTCAACACCAAATATGTTTGTTCAATTTGTTCTCTATGATCACAATAACTTGATGTTTCCTCACCTTATGCTTTTTGCAATGGAGACCATCCCTCCATTGAGGGAGCTCACTCTGGATTATGGAGTGGTTGATGATTGTACAGGCAAACTCTTCATATGTAACTGAATGATCTTGAAAGGGGCATACAGCTTACATTATGGTGAGGCTGAGTTTTGGGTATGTTGCAATGAGGTAATTCCAGATTTCATCATTTGGCTTAACGCTTCTCTCTATTTTCCAATATATAACATATCAACATCTTTTTCTTCTGTTGCCCTGGGCCTGCGTAAACTCTGCTGACCCTTCGGATATAAAACTTTTTATTCATTGGAATCCATCACAAGCCTTAAGGAACATAACATGGAAGTGTATTTCAAATAACAGGAGGTTTTTTAATTCAACATAGATGTTTAGCCAAGAAAATTTTAGTGTTTTAGTATGCTTAAAAAAGCATATCCTAGTATGGCTTTTGTTATCTGAAATTCTTTGTTTGATCTTGATTTCTTTGCAATATTGTGCGTCTTGTGTGCTCTACAAATATTGATCTTTCCTGGATTTTGCATTTCTCCAGGACTCTAAACGAAAGAATAGCTGATCTTTTGGTATTTGATATGCTTGGCTCTCTGTGTGTCTAGCCTGGGAGAAGAACATGGTCTTTAGGATTCCTCTGGTTTTCGGACATAAAAGTTTTCCTTGTGTTTTTTATTTGTAATTCCAATGTTGAACCTTTTTCTTATTCAGGTCATTTTGCAAAGCTTAATCAACCATAATACAAATTTCTTAGATCATAAAGCCATGAAAGCATCAATATTATAAGTTTTTAAGTCTAACCCCTATGTTTTCTTCATCAGATGCATTATCTCAGTAAGATCATCTAGTATAACTGCGTTGTATTGCCATTGCTGTAGTGGTGTGTGGGTGGAGAGTAATTTGGTGAGCAAAGATGCTGGTCTCTGGAAATCCAGGCTAAGAGTGTGTTCTTGTGGCCCAACCCTCCTGTCGCTGAAACCCCCACCTTCCCCCACAAACAATAAACATTTCTCCATAATCCATCCGGTTCATCATCATCATTAGACAATTCCTCAATTTCCTCTTAATCTGTTGGTTCCCACAAAATGTTGATATGCCATCATGCATAAAGGGTAGATTTTCTGTGTACTGATGTTCTAGTGCTTTTGTGATTGTACCCTACCAACATGTACTTTTGGTCTGTACGGATCAGGTTTACAGATATAAGTGGTATTTGTAGTTCAAATGTCAGACGGTATAATTAGGATTGCTGGGGAGTTAACTAAACAGCATTGACCAAATGTGCAATGAAAGGAATAAAAGGGGGTTAAAATTGGTTTTCCAAATATCAAAATCAATTTGATTTGTTTGAATTTTTAATTGATTCAGTGAAAATTGAACCAAACTGAATCGATGCATTGCTGCTCAAAGGGTAATTTCACCAACAATTGGTTCAAATGGTTTGGCGCTTGTTTCATTTAAGTAATATCGTGCATTTAAGTCTTGAAATGGTGAAAATTGCTGTTCAGGAGAGCTTTACAACCATGTGGTCTGATTCAGTTCAATTTGCATAAGTTGGGTTTCAATATGGCTTCTAAAATCTGGTTGGTATTATATTTAATGAAAGAGATAATATGCTAACACTTCAGATTTTTTAATGTGTTTGTTGATGCTCTCTCCCCAAGCACTATTTTAAAATGTGCTATTTAGTAATAGACATGGGCATTTGACTTGGAAGGCTTATTTTTTTCTTTAAATTCCTTTATGTGGTGTAGAGTTTAACTATTATTTTACTTATTCTTATATATGTATATAAATGTCTGATCCATGGTCACTATTCACCCACAGTAACATGAACTAGTAATTTCTTGAAACTATTTGACATATATTATTGTTTAATGTCATATTGGAGGAGATATTAGCTTTATTAATGTATATATCAATTTAAGTTTTGTGAAAAAAATTAAATTTGTATAATAAGAAGCTGACTGAGGAAATAAAAAAAAAAAAAATCAGTTATAGAAAAAATTCTGCAATAGTGTAATTAAATTATTAGTATAAATTGCTAATTAAAAAAAAAAAAAATTGACTTGATTGGTTTGTGAACTAATTCAAACTAAACCAATTATAACTCAGACTATATAGGTTTGTGTATTACAAAATTGACTTGATTGGTTCGATTTTGTTTTGGTCTAAAATTGAACTGAAATTTTATCTTTAATCATAATTGAAAATGTGAAAATTCTCTGGTTTGAGATCTCACCACATAGATTTAAGACAGACACCACTAATTTTAAGGTTCTTGGTGCATCATACTGTGTTCCAACTTCAAATTTCAAAGCTTTCTCCCATTATTTCTTCTGCCCCAATCTGTGCATTTGTTACTAGACCATAATTACTCATTATTACAATGTTTGCTATGGAAAACATTGAGATAACCTCCTTTGAAACTCTCAGATTTATTTGAACCAGTATAAAATGTATACGGACTTGTTCTCTTTTATCTTGATGCTCATGGAATAAATCTGACACTTACTGGACTCAAATGGGGAATGTGTTCTTAAAGACTGTCCGTGATATTTGACTAGCTTATTTAATCTTCAAGTACCTCTTTAATCTTCCTTCTTCAGATTTGTTTCTCCTGTTTAATTTTCAGCTTGGTTAATAATGATATTCAAACGTGCTGAGTTGAATCAATATTCTTTTGCAGGATGAATTCTTGAAGGTTCCAGACTCACCAATATTACTAAAAGTGTTGACATATCTATTTTGCTAGTTCTGTTCTACCTGACCTTTTTTTTGGTTGAAAAGCTGCATATGGAGTTCCGGGTTCAGATCCTCTGAAGTATGAGATCTATAAAGTTGCCAAGATGAAGGACTGTGGACTGTCAGATTGATGGAAGGGTCAAGATGAGGCCACGCGACTGTGACTGAGGCCAACCAAAACACTTGGTGACATTTGATGCTCTCTAACACAGTGACTTCATCCTGACTTTTCCAATAATCTGATTGCACATAATCTTTCACTTCAGGCAACTCTACAGATCCCCTACTTGGGCTTTGAATGCATGCAGTTTCATATCTGCTTTACTAAAACTTGTAGAGAACTTCATAGAACTTAGAATGTAGCTCGGCTGTATTTACCCCTTCCCTTTGTTTTTCTGCCTTTTATCTAATGTATATCTCTAGATTGGATCCCTAGATTTAGTTATTAAATGCAAGGGATTCAAATGGCCGAGTCCAAGTTTGTACAGGACTAACATTATGTAGCAGCTGTTAAAGATCAATGATGAAAGCCAGGTTTCTAATGCGTGGAAGAGCTAGGTTATTGTGCCCGTTTGGATAAGCGATTGGAAAAGCAACTTATAGGAAAAGTAGCTTATGGAAAAGTGAAGTTGATAAAAGTTAAATTGGATAAGTTGAATTGTGTTTGGATTGGAGTTTAGAAAAGTTAGTTTGTAAAAGTGAAATTGGTAAAAGCTTGTTTGGATTATAGTTGAGTAAAAATAAGTTTGGCTGAAAAATTATCAAAATGGGTATGAATTTTAATAAATAATGAAACATGAAAAAAATTGATTTCACATAATATAATGAAATTAAAATAATTTAATATGAAGAAATCAAATTTAATGAGTGAATTAAATTTTAAAATAGAAATCATAAAAAATATTTTAAATATAAATTGAAACATAAAAAAAGAATTGAGATAATATTGATAGCCTCCTGACACGCACAATGGCTAAGAGAAAAAAAATTGATAAGCTCGTGAGTCTGGGAAAAGCTGGATGGGAGAGAAAAAAAAAAAAGGGAAAATGACATTGAGGTCCCATGCAACACAAAATACTACAAAAAGGTCCCAGGAAATTTGGTAATGATTCTGAAGTCCCAAAGGGACTTCAGTGCAATTTGATGAATTGCAAAATGACGCCTCTGCCCTTGGTGAAATGCCCTGTTTTTCAGTCTGAAAATGAACACTCTGTACGCAGGAAGCAAGAGAGAAAAAACCCAAATTTCATTCTGCTTCTTCCCCCATCCCATCTGAAAATCTCATCCACTCTATTAATGTCAATCATTGGCAAAAATCGCTTGTGTTTTTGGTTTGGTGTGTGTTTGGTCATTCAAGTTGGGGTTTTATTATAGGTAGGTAGGGTGATTATGGGTGTTCTGTTTCTGAGTATATTGTGGGTGGATTGAAGGTGGGCTTGCTCTGTCTGGGCATAGTTCAGGGGGAACTGATGAGAAAAATGAAGGTTGGTGTGATTAGAAACCCTTACTGCGAAATAGGAAAATATGTTGTCAATAGGGTCGCGACAGTTGTCAATAGAGCTCCTTGACTTGTCAATAGTAACAGCATTGTACAGATTTACATTAACTGATTTTTTACACAAAGGCCATGACCTTCTGTACTCTTGACTCATTGGTAGAGGTCACAAAAAAGGAAGAAGAGGCAACAAAGAAGGGTGAGTAGTTACATGAGGCAAAAGAAAAAAAAAAGCCACTTTGATCCTAGACAAATGATGGCAAAAGAATTTTTTCGTAAATAGAAGTGACATAATTTTTTTGGTAGATGTCACAACACACACAAATAATTAGTTTAATATTGGATACATGCAACTATATGTTTTTTTAATGGGGTTATAAAATCGGTGTAATTACATGTATATGAAGTTGTAAATGAAAGTTAGCTGTGTATTACATTCTGATGCATAGTTTGTTGTCATTATCTGCACCCTTCAGTGTCAATACATGCTTCGTCACTTGTCACTCACTGCACCATCAGTTGTCAATTAATGTACTGATATAAATTTTAAAAAAATATGATTTTTATTACATAATGTTATACAACATCATACAATATCACTAATTCCTCAAAACTAATATATTTTTTATAATATGATATAGAATAGCTATTAAAAGTCAATCATCACTGATATGAAATCATAAAATCACTTGTCATAAACAACATATTCACTTGTTAATGGTTTCGGTGTAACTTGGCATGTTAGATTCTGCTGTCATTTCAATTGTCATTATTCGCACCCTACATTGTTATTAGACCTATTATAACTTGTCAATGGAGCATTGTAACTTGTCAATTAATTTGCTGATATAAGTTGTCAACAATATGAATTCAAGTTACATAACCTGTTTTAGTATCATATGATATTTTTAATTACTCTGTCATATTATATTTTGATTATATTGTCATATATAATTATTATTAATGAAGTGTTAATGATGGCACTATGACTTGTCAATGGAAGCACTATGATTTATCAATGGTGGCACTATGACTTATCAATGGTAGCACACTGACTTGTCAATGGTAGCGCTGTGACTTGTTGTTCACTGAATAACTTCTCGAAAGATTTGGGCACTGCGGCGGATATGATTAGGTGCCCTGGTGCCTTACACAGAATGGCAACTCCTTGGGACAGATGGGGGTGCCGCGACAGATATGGTCAGACGCCGCAGCGGATTATCAGTTGTCAATGGTGGCACACTAACTTGTCAATGGTGGCACTATGACTTGTCAATGGTGGCACTGTAACTTGCCAATAGAGTACTGTGACTTGTTAATGTAGGCACTGTCTCTTATCAATTGAACATAAATCTGAGTAACACCTTCTTCTTAATAATTATATTTTAATGCAAATATCACTTAACATTATAAATAAATGACACCTTCAGTTATAAAAATTTTGAACATTAATTATTAATATTCACACATTCATTTGTTATAAAATTGTTATATCACTTGTTATTAACTTCTATTATATTACTTGTTATTTTGGATAACTCAGGTTGTTAATTTCTACGCCGGATGCTGTTGAGCTATACACAACTGAGAATTTCAAAAGAAATGAGTCACTTTCTTTTCTAGCAATTGATGATATAATTTCTTTCAATTCTTCATAACTTGTGCCCTCCTTTATATTGTTGTTCTTACACTACCTCCCACATATCTCATATCATCTTCTCTATCATTTATAAACTTTCTCTCTATGTGAACAAAGCAAAATAGATGCTTTTCAGATGTATTCGCCATCAGTAATTTAAACCTGCATCAAGAATCATGCAATTGTCATTGACAAGTTAAGGAGCTACGTTGACAACTGTCGTGGCACACATTAACAACTATCACGGCCTGATTGACAACACAATATCCCATTTCGTGCTAAGAGTTTCTACCCACACTAACCTTCATCTTTTTCTTCCTTTGCTACTAAACTAACATCAGCACAGAGCAAAACCATTAACAAGTGAATTTGTTGTTCATGACAAGTGATTTTATGACTTCATATCAGTGATAATTGACTTTTAATAACTATTCTATATCACATTATAAAAAATGGATTAGTTTTGAGGAATTAGTGATATTGTATGACGTTGTATAACATTATGTAATGAAAATCATATTTTTTTAAATTTATATCAGCACATTAATTGACAACTGATGGTGCAGTGAGTGACAAGTGACGAAGTATATATTGACAATAAAGGGTGTGAATAATGACAACGAAGTGTATTAAACTAATTATTTGTGTGTGTTGTGACATCTACCAAAAAAATTATGTCACTTCTATTTACGAAAAAATTCTTTTGCCATCATTTGTCTAGGATCAAAGTGGCTTTTTTTTTTCTTTTGCCTCATGTAACTACTCACCCTTCTTTGTTGCCTCTTCTTCCTTTTTTTGTGACCTCTACCAATGAGTCAAGAGTACAGAAGGTCATGGCCTTTGTGTAAAAAATCAGTTAATGTAAATTTGTACAATGCTGTTACTATTGACAAGTCAAGGAGCTCTATTGACAACTGTCGCGACCCTATTGACAACATATTTTCCTATTTCGCAGTAAGGGTTTCTAATCACACCAACCTTCATTTTTCTAATCAGTTCCCCCTGAACTATGCCCAGACAGAGCAAGCCCACCTTCAATCCACCCACAATATACTCAGAAACAGAACACCCATAATCACCCTACCTACCTATAATAAAACCCCAACTTGAATGACCAAACACACACCAAACCAAAAACACAAGCGATTTTTGCCAATGATTGACATTAATAGAGTGGATGAGATTTTCAGATGGGAATGGGGGAAGAAGCAGAATGAAGTTTGGGTTTTTTCTCTCTTGCTTCCTGCGTACAGAGTGTTCATTTTCAGACTGAAAAACAGGGCATTTCACCAGGGGCAGAGGCGTCATTTTGCAATTCATCAAATTGCACTGAAGTCCCTTTGGGACTTCAGAATCATTATCAAATTTCCTGGGACCTTTTTGTAGTATTTTGTGTTGCATGGGACCTCAATATCATTTTCCCAAAAAAAATTGATAAGCTCTTGACACGCACAACGGCTAAAATTTGATTAAAGCTCTTCTCAAATAATTGATAAGCTCCTGTCAGGAACTTATTTCCATTGAGCATTCAGTAGCCTAAAAATTAAATAAGCCCAATAGGAATTAAGCTCTCCCAAACAGACCTTGTTGCTCAACCCAGCTCAACAGACCCATTATTGTGTTATTATATGGGTTTGGAAGGTATCTTCAAAATGTCAAATGCAAAATTATAATGTTAAACAAAAGAATACTGTAACTATGCCCATTTTGGTCATTTTACTTTTTCTTCTACTTCTCAGGTGTTTGTCTAGCCCTTTTCATAGTTTCTCCCACATCTGTTGGGGCTATTTGATCCTCTGAACAGAAAATAGTCTGCTTAGGTCAAACTTGGCTTGGCCTCTTTCTCAAGAAGCTAATTCATTTGTTGTGTCATGAATATTAATATGAAATAGGGAAAATCGTAAAAAAAGACTGCCAAAGTAAAAAAGAATACAAATAGAGATCCATTACAACATTAGTATTGGTTTTGACAATTTTTGTAAACGGATTCCTATGTGTAATTTTTTCAATTTTTAGAATTTTTTTTTCACAATTTTTCGTATGAAATGTGATTTTTATCAATATTATTTAAAAGGAAAAATTGCAAATGACTGAATTATAAAATTTTATATTAGGAATCGTAACGACATTCTAATTTGTTTTGACAGGAATTAATTTGCAAATAACAATAAATTTTTATAAAAATTCATGAGGAGATTTTGCCATTTTCATTGTTTCTTTTTAGTTTTCCTATTTAAAAATTATGAAAAACGTGGTTTATTTTTTGAACTTTGCACTATAAAAAATCTGCAAAAGCTCAAATCAGACGTGTAGATATAATTTTCAAGAAGTATCCATGAGAACTTGATTTGTTTCTCTTGCGCATTGTTATGACCCTGTGACCTTTATATTAACAAATCTTGATCACGCGCTCTGAC